GTTTATATGGAGAATATTTGAAGAAAATGTTGATGGATTAATACTGGATTTTTGGGTGTTTCAGCTATTCTTTACATTTTCCATACCAGGTTATTGAGAGTCGTGATAGGTATGCTCGGATGAGTGTCCAGGTTTCAGATACAAAAGAATACACACCCCTGAACAGTTCTCTCTCAAAACCCCGCCCGCGTTCGCAATCATGCCAAGTCAACCTATTGATGCAGATGCAACTGCGCCATTGGTATGCAGGAGAACTCCTCCAACAGAGGGAAGGTGTGATCTGATTTTTTCCTCCACAAGAACCAATCATTACCTGATATTATTCTTCTTTTCATGCGTAGTGAATTCTCTCGCCATTCCATACAATTGGTTATATTGATTGGTTCCCAGCCAAGCGGTTCCTTTGGAGCGGGAAGGGAAGGGCGAGCGTGCCGTCTTATTTCTTTGTGATGCTTATTTGAACTCGAACCCCGCCCTCTTTTTTATTATTTCATTCTCACCATTATTAACTACATACCTTACTCAACAACATGGCTTCTCCTCCTCCTCCCTCCTCTGGTCCTGCCTCTCCTGCCCCTGCGGCAGCGACTACTCCTGCGGCAGCAACAACAACCACCACCACTTCAAGCCCTGCTGCCGCCGGATCACCCCCTGCTGCTGCTTCTGCTCCTGCCGCCGACCCTTCTTCCCCGCAACCAGAACAGTCCAACGTTCAGGTTGAGGTTGATGATGTCGACCCAGACGACCACGATGATGCCGATTCTGCCCTGGGTGACGATGTACAGTCTTCCACGGCCAGTATCTCCAGCTCCATTCTCAAATTCAGAGAAGAGAATGGACGCACCTACCACGCCTTCCGCGATGGCAAGTACTTCTTCCCCAACGACGAAAAGGAGAACGAGCGTCTCGATTTGCAACACCACGTATGGCTCGTGTCCCTCGAGGGTCGCCTCGGTTACGCGCCTCCCTGCGAAATAGACGCTCCTCCTGGTCGCGTTCTCGATCTGGGCACTGGCACTGGCATCTGGGCCATTGACTTTGCCGACGAGCATCCCCAGAGCACCGTCATCGGAATTGATCTCTCCCCGACCCAACCATCATTCGTCCCGCCCAACGTTCATTTCCAAATTGACGACATGGATGAGCCCGAATGGACCTTTAGCGAGCCATTTGACTACATTCATCTTCGTCTCATGACTGGCTCCATTGCCGACTGGACTGAGCTTTTCAAGAAGATTTACAAGAACCTCGCCCCCGGCGGCTGGGTTGAAGTCCAGGAGCTTGGCATCCCCCGGTGCGACGACGGCACGTTTCACGAAGGCCTCGCCATTCACAAGGCTGTCTCTCTGCTCGGTGCCGGTCTCGAAGCCGTCGGAAGACCGCTTGTTGACGTTTACAAGCTCAAGGACTATATGAAGGATGCCGGTTTCCCCGAGGTGAAGGAGAAGCACGGCTATTGGCCATCTAACTCGTGGCCAAAGGATCCTAAGCTCAAGGAGATTGGAACCTGGGCCAACTCGTCCCTTTCTACCGGTTTTGAGGGATTCTTGCTTGCTTTGAGCACTCGCGATATGGGTTGGACTCCAGCTGAGGTTCAGGTCCTTTCGGCTCAGGCAAGGGCTGACATGAATAACCGTCGCATTCACACGTATTGGCCTGTGTAAGTTTTTTTTCTGTTGATAACAAATCCCATGACCTCTGTTGCTAACTGGTTGATAGCGTCTGCGCATATGCTCAGAAACCCCTGAACCCATGACGACCATGATTTTTCTTTCTTTTTGGAAAGGCAACGCATTGTGGAATATGAATTTTGAGCGCTTGATGTTTTAAATTAAATACCTTTATGAATAACATTACATAGATGCAAATTTTCGTCCCTGATGATACGGAATCCTACACAGCAGATAAGCTTGTTGTACGAGCCAATCCTTCGTCCTGCTGTCTCATCTCGGTTTTAACAGCAGTGCTGAATCGGCTTGCGGCGCGAATCTTGTCTCCATATGCTATGAAGCAAAATGGAACGGCAGAAAGAGCCGCGCTGATGCCGGCAAGCAAAACACAGGATTTGGCTACTCCGAGTCCTTTGATCATGTCCTCTACTGCAAGTGGGATTAAAGCACCGCCGACACTTCTTGTTGTGCCCAGTGCTGCCAGTGCTGATGCAGAGTAGATGCCGTATGCATCAGCAACATACTAGATAACAGATCAGTAAGACTCAAACTTGTGAGAAGTGTTTTTTAAGGTATAAACTCACATTAATCATGGCAACCCAAATAATATTATAAGCGATTCCATAAGGAAACAAGGCAACAAAAGGAACAGCCCAGTGAATGTTTTCTCTTGAAGTCAACCCGAACCAGAGGATGGAAACGACAAAGATGGGACCTCCGATACAAGCTAAGGGAAGTCGAAGATGTTCTTGCTTTTTTTGGGGATTAAGTCTTTCGCTTAGACGCATTGTTATTGGGTCTGATAACCAGCAGATGAAGCAGCCTATGATTGTACCGGCGCCGACTATTCATTATCGATCAGTAAACCATATCTTCTGCGGGGGGTTTCTGATGTAGGTAGTAGGTAGGGGGGAAACGTACTGATGGTAAATAAAAGCCCTGTAACACCAGAACTGAATCCGTAGATTCCTTTAAACACGGCTGGGATTATTTGGACGAGCATGTAAAAGAGTGCGTAAATGAAGGCGATGTATAGAGAGGTTAGGATTATTAACATTTCGTGTCGGATTAGTTGTAATGGACGGAGGAGTGTTGTTTTCTTTTTTTTTTCTCGTCAGTAACTAGTCACTTGCATATAAATTTTTAATTTTTTTCTCAAGAAAGGTGATGATAATATTGTTGAATGCTGTGAGGGGAAAAAAAGAAAGGAGAATAAAACTCACCAAAGCAGCTGCAACACTCTTTTTTCCCAAATCGGCTGGAGCAACAAACCTTTTGCTCCTATCGACATTTTTCTTGTTTAGTTTTGATGCTTTCTTTTGTAGGATTCTTGATGCCAAAGTTTCTGGAAGTAATAAAACGCTTATAAACGAAACACCAGCATAAATTAATGCAATCCTTTTCAAAAAGTCAACATCATGTCAGTTTATCATCATAAATAACAGACACAAATGGGGCAGAAAATGCATACCAAAAAACCCATCTCCATCCCAATACCGGCGCAACAAACCCTCCCAAAACAGGAGCACCCAACGGTCCAACAAAAGTAGCAGCACTCCAAACCATCAACATTCTCCCCCTCGTTACATCTTGTTTCCAACAATCGGCTATTACTCCTCCGTAGATACTTAATGGTGGACTACCAAACGTTCCTGCAAAGAAACGAAATAATAAAAATGTCCACCATTGTGTTGAGAGGACTGAGCCTAGGGTTGATAAGAGGAATAGAGTAAAACCGGTTATAAGAATTGGTTTACGACCGTATTGTTCTGATAGAGGGGCGAATATTAATGGACCAAAGACGAAGCCGACTAGGTAGAGTGAGGCTGGGAGGACGGTTTGAGGGCCGGAGGGAACGGAGAATTGGGATTGGAGGTAGGGGAAGAGGGGGGAGGCGAGGGTTGAGGAGAGGGTGGAGTTTAGGGAGGTTAGGGTTGCTGAGAGGAGGATTAGGGATTTTTTGAGCTGGAAGGAAAGTAAGTAAATGGATGTTAAGATGTATATGTGATTGGGGGGGGGGGGGGGGGTTAACATACTGTTGAAAAGTTGTAGGGGCTTGTTGGGTCTTCTGGGCCGGAGAAGTTGACGGTTATGAGTTCGGGTTCTTCGGAGGGGATATTATAATGAATTGTTGTTGAGGGAAGCGAGGAAGATGAAGAGTTGCTGCTGCTGCTGAGACTCTGAATCCCAGGTTGGGAGGAGGAGGGAGGCTTTTCGGGGTCTTCTTCCATGATGGATTTTGAGGCGCCGTGTCGAATCACAGAGAAAATGGCAAGATCGGGATTTGAAGGGGAAGATTCGGGAGGTAAAAGTTTCACAAGAGGAACAAATCACAAATCACGACCTTTCAAAGTCTTTGGTGTTTTTGTCAAACCGAGGTAAGAGGGTTACCCCAACTACTTGCAACCTTTTAAAAGCCCCGAGAAGGACACAAACAACACACACACACACACACACACATAGGAGAATAAAAGCTGCAAGGAAAGCATCGCATTGAGTAAACCAAACAATGAGGCGGTCTCCCCTATCTTGCGGTGTCCATGTTTGTCTGCAACTCTGCAGAATGATGAGAAGGATTCTTGTTTACGCCGTCATCGGAGGTTGCTTTTTTGACTACAAGTAAATAAAAAAAATTTATTATTTAAACCTCGTGATGGATAATCTTTCCCGGGATCTGATATGGGGTAGGGGAGGATGGACCGTGTTAGCGTAGATTGTGATACTGGCGGTCAACAACAACAACATTTTGTGAGTCAACTTCCCTTTTGAAGACGGCATCCGTAACATTGAAGTCAGCTTGAAGAAACTACAAGAAAAAATGAAAAGAGCAAAACAAGAATCCAGATTAGCTTGAACCAACCTATCGAACTCCAGACCTTCCCGTTGCCCCTCCTCACATAAACGGGTAACAGATCCCGTATCCCGAATCTATACCCTCAAGAAGTCTTCCAGAACAAATATGCCCGGGCTTTAGTCAACTTTACCCCTTACCCACGCCCCTTGGTCAACAATTCCATGTGGAGAATATTCAAGACCGTTGTTTCTCCCCTTACCCAAGTCAGGTCTAAAACAAGGGTTACCGGCCACCCGTCTATCGGATCCTTTGGCAACGGCCCGCTCACAGAACGAACCCGAAGAAGAAAAAGGTCACTTGATCATGTTTCTAACCTCCGATATCGTTCCGCCATCCTTCGGAAGCAAACCACTTAAAAAGAAATCTAGAACGGACGATAATATCTGACCGCTGGTTTCTTGATTTCCAGAAAAAGAAAGTAGTATATAAACATCCTCATCAATCATGGTCATCACCATAATCTCCGCCAACCATCAGCCCGATTAGCTCAGCTGGTTAGAGCGTCGTACTAATATCCACTTCTGTAAAAAGAGTGAATAATTGGTAAATGCGAAGGTCAACAGTTCAATCCTGTTATTGGGCATTTTATTTTTTGTCATTTTCAACCACTCATTTTTTTATTTTTTTTATTTTTTTTATTGGTATTTTGTTTTACTCGCGATCGAAAAAAGGCACAAAGACACCCGCACAAGTACTTTTTTAGTAAACTCCTATATATCTACCATATTCACTCAGACTTGCCCTCCTTAGCAGCCTTCTCCTCCCCAACAATCCTCCTCCAACCCTTCGGATACCCCCTCTTCTCCCTCCACTCCTCAACCTCCTTCTCAACCATATACAACAAATTCTCCCTCCAACTCATTCCCATATCCTCTCTCCATCCAATCTTTCCCCCAAACTCCCAACTAATAATACTTTCTGCTCTCGCTCCATCCTTTGCATCAAGTAATCCAACAGCCACATCAGCTATATCCGGTCTGTCGTCTACACAATAAAACACGCAGGCAGCGCATCGACTGCAAAAGTATCTCTGAACGTCATCGGAGCTAGCGTACCAAGCCAATGTCCCAAACTTTTCATCCTCATTAGGCCCATCCCTTTCTGCTTCCTGAACAGCAGCTTTCAACTCTGCTGTTGTGAGAGGAAATCCCTCTTTTCCATCCGCAAACCCAATATGCTTCAAAAGGAAAAAAGTCCAATTGAAAATCTCCACCCCGCTTTGAAGTCTGCAGGAATCACACCCATCAAAAACTCCCAACGATTTATGATTCCTGGGATCAACAAACCAGGGTAATTCTTTTCCTTCACTTGCCTGCTTCTCAAATTCCCTTTTTGCTTCTCCGGCTTTGACGACGAGATTTACTCCTCCACAATGACATTTCAATCTGACTTCTTCTTCCACCTCTTCCTCTTCAACTTTCTTTTTTTGTGCTTCCAGAGGAGGCCAATACCCCTTAACCTCCTCACTCATCCCCCCCTTCCCCAACCATTTCTTTCCCCCAGAGTCACCAGAAAACCAATTAACCCCTCCACCATCCTTCGTATTTCCCACATAAACATGCGTACCCCAATCAACTTTGAGTCTCGTCATCTCCTTGCCCAGTACTCCAGAACAAACCCAATACCGTATCTTTTGTGTCTCTTCTGAAGAAGTATCAACAACAAATAACGGACTACTACACTTCCAACAAAATAACAACGTCATGTGATTGGAAATAGTATATCGGCGGGGTCCCCAATTATGACTAGAGTCAAACATCCAGTCGGATTCTTCATTATCGGACCAGAGGATCGCTCGGGAGCCGGTTAATGCGCCCGTGATGTGTCGGCAGGAGTCGCAGTGGCAGGTTATTGCTTTTATGGGCTCGGAGGAATCATGGGGGATAACAAAATCGTCTTTTATGTAGGTGTGGGTTTTGCAGAGGCATTGTGCCGAGATGCGAATTGTTTGAGGGTTTGTTTCTTCTTCCATTTTGGGCGAGGGGTCGAAAAGGTAAATTAAATGATTTCAAAACGGTTGATTTGAAGTAGGAATAAAAAAAAACCAGTGAGAGGCTTGTGTGAGAGGGAGGAAATATTTATGAGTTGTTGGAGCAGTAGCTTGGCTGGTTGACCCCGCAGTTGCTGCCTGCTCAGAAAGAATCCAAGAAATACGTCAACCTCATGATTTAATTCCGGCTGGAAACACAAGTAATGAATACCGTGGAATCTATTCTATACTATTAAACTGTTATACAACTTGTCTGAAAAAATAAAAAATCTTTCCTGTATCGAGGTTCGTCTTATTAAAGAACGGAAAACAGTGACCCCCCAAAATGACCAATGCAAAATAACCCTTTAACCAAATTCCAACACCATCCATAGTTTATACTCATACCACATGTTGATTGTTTCGTCCGACCGTGCTAGGGCTGCCGATGCTATCATCATCGGCACCCTCGCCCTTCAAAAACTTCCGCCCTTCATCCTCATCATCGCTCATCAAACCGTCCAGTTCAAACTCGTTTGCATCCTGTAGCTGTACTTCCTCACCCCGACCACGTCCATTTGGCACTGCCTTTGTAACAGGGTTTACCGCGCGATCATAGACGTTGATGAGAACCATGGTCCACAAGAACATAATAGATGCCACGCTGTATAGAATCAAAACGTAGGCCACAGCGTCCATGCCCAACCAAAGAACCAACTCCATCTGCTCCTCATTAGCTCCCATAAACAGAAAACCCGCAGCGTAGAGAAGAAAGACTGGAACATATTGGAATGCCTTAATCTCCCTTCCATCTTCTGAAACGCCCGGTTGGTCATTCAACACAAAGCATATTTCGATGATGCGAGTAAATCCAACCCCCATCAAGGTGTAACCAAACATTTTGTGCGTCATGGCGCTGATCATCATTTCTTGCGGATGAGAGGACATGGCCCAACCGGTAAGAAGAATGATAAAGCCTGGGATGAAGTTGCGCTTTGGTGATCCGTCGCGCCCAATGCTGAGCCAGATTCCAACCAAACCAGCAGCCCACCAGATAATTCCCATAGTGGTATGCTGCCAATCATTCTTGACCCATTCTGTACCCCAATGATGCTCGGTGAATGTGTTGACGCAGCCCCATGCGGCAATGACGGCGCTGTCGTAGAATTCCTGGCTCCGACCGGTACGACGCATCCATAACTGTCCGACCAGCAAGAGGATAGTCAAGACAATTCCGTAAGCAATGAAAGCGCTGCCCATGATGAAATGGGCGGCGCATTGGCCAAGGTGGTCTCCCTGGCAAAATCCCAGCGCAGTGATACCTCCAAACAGCATCTGAACCCACGAGAACAGGGGAAACGCCTTTCCGTTCACACTGTGGAGAGTTCGAAAAAATGGACGTATCCGACCATGAATTCCTCGTTCGAGATGCAGCTTCAGGTAGGCGCCAAGGACGATCTGGGCGATCATGAGGAAGAAGAGAGGCGTCGCGGCTTTCGCGTGGACATTTTTCTCATTAAAGACCCGACCGCCGTGAAGGTGTCCCAATGCATATCCCAAGAGAGCGATTGCTGTACCAAAAACTTGAAGCGGTACATGCCATCGGTTTTTAATTATCTGTACAAGCAAAATAATACCCTTTTAGTTGTCTACGGGTGTTGTTGATGCCAAGGTTGACTTACCCCAAGAACCATCCCTAATGGGAAGACTATGCCAAAAGCAAAAGTTTGCAAAAATATGTGCACCCATAATGTCGCATCCTAGCAGAGCTGTCAGTAAACATCAATTTCGTTTCCCACCCCGCGGCTGTAAGTCCCGACGTACAATAGGTTCCACAGAGACTGTCTGCCCCTCCGGGATGCTCCCCTCATCGTGATGATCGTGGGACATGGCCATTGGTATAAAGGCTGCTGCCAGAGCTATTTTTGCAATCGAAGGGGAGATTCGAGCTCGAGGAACGAGATTCGGCCATGACGATGATACGGGCGACGAGCCACGGTGACGGCACCGGCGACCCGAGAGGCTCGCTGTCATGGTGATGGGAGGTTTCGAACGTACAGGGGAGAACAGGGATGGCCTCTTCAGTTTTCGAAGCACGATGTCACTGGAAGCCACTGTTCACAAACACCGGCGTCTCACAGATCGGACGATTCTTGCACAATTCTGACACGATTTTGGCGCGACGGGGGAACTCGGTAGATGGGGGGCGCAACAGCGCTAAAATGACGTTGTGTGCATTCAAAAAAAACGGTGTTCAAAAATCCTTCCAACGGCAGAAAAATGCTTGTTTTATTGAAAAAGAAAATGGAGTTCGCGCTCTCGGCCAGCTCGGCCACCGGACATCTCGGAGGACACAACATTTCTTTAATAAACTCCCTCGCGTCCGGATATCTTGTTCTCATGCACCTGCCGGGATGGGATGAGATTCCTCAGCTGCGGCCTGGGGGTAATTGGTGGACACCCTATGCTTGGTGTGGGGCAGAATCAAACTCTAAAATTCCGAGGCGCGAATTGGCAGGCGTGGCAGGGGATTTGGATTCGCTTGGAAGCTGGGGAATCGCCCGATCAGTTGTTCACACACTGCCAAATTAGGTAATTCACCATCTCACTTCAGCATGGCATTCTTGGAATAAGCATCTTCAATTTTATTTTATTACTCTTGCTCGGCGCGAATCATGTCTGCTTCCCAATCAGACTTGATTTGATCAGCAAAGTCATGATCCGTCAGCACCCTCCATCCAACCGAGGCCATTCCCTTGCCGGACTCGATCGCTCTCGAAAATGTATCATCTGTTCCAGCCGCCGCCGTGAAGGGCTTCGTATGGTTTGCCCCTCCGTGCTCCGTCTTGATTCCAAACGCCCCGTGAAAGCTAGGACATTGATAACACACGTCTCCCATGTCTGTACTCCGGCGAGGAAGTCTCCCAGTTCGTCGTATGCCACAGTCCCCTTTGGCATTGCCTCTACGTAGGTCTTGCAAAGTAAAGGACTAGGTCGGAGGTCCGAGTACGAAGGCAATTCTTCGAGACAAAGCGAACATCCTGTTGCCAGCGCCGCGCCCTCGAAGCACTTTAGAACTCTCTCCCACAATGCAAGAGCTTTCTTCCGGGTTGGGCTGCGAATATAATATTCGACACAACAATTCGCCGGTGTCACGTTTGGCCTGTCTCCGGCGGACCGGATTATACCATGAATGTGCTCGTTGGGGTGGATTTGCTGGCGCAGCATGCTGATGGCGTTATACGAGAGACATACGGCGTCAAGAGCGTTGACTCCTTCCCAAGGAGCGGTTGACGCATGAGCTTCCTTGCCTGTGAAATACACTCACTTCTTGACGTTGGCGAGTATATGGACATATGAAGCACCTCGAAGGGGAGATGGTAGTTTGTTGCCAGGACCCTGGTGGACCATCAGGCAAGCCGAAACGTCTTTATAAGCGCCAGCCTTGATCAACTTTAGCTTTCCGCCACCGCCTTCTTCAGCAGGTGTACCTAGGAGACGAACGCGCCCTGGGCGAGCCGGATGCCTTGAGAGCTCCAGCGACTCCGAGGAACGCCACAAAGGATGCTGATGCCATCAAGTTGTGTCCACAAGCATGTCCAATACCGGGAAGC